CTGTATTATTTTTGCCAATTCCAATTACATATATATATATATGTATGTATGTACATATGTACGTACATTAGGGTGGTCCAAAAATACATAGGAAAATCAACTTATTGGGATATTCTCTTTTTTTCACAGACTTATAGAAAATGGGAAATAAGAAGATCGTATTTTTAAATCGGTCAATGTTTAAACGTGCCGCCGTACAGTGTTTTGACTATACATATCAAAAAGTTTACTTGGAAATGTGCATGCTAAAAATTTGTAGCAAAACAAAATGTGAGTACCGCATGTGGACGCATGGTTTTAGAGAATTTCGTGTAGCTTCCGACCATATAATTGGATATTTTCGGGCAACTTTGCAAATATATGTATGTAATTTTCAATTTCATTTCTTAATATTTCGATTTGCTCCTTATTTTTGCTTAATTTTGTGCAAAAAAATGTGAAACAATGGAAAATCACCACAATATTGTGAGAATTGAGAGCATTTACACCTAAGTATTTTTTAAGTATATCTTACCTTTTTATTTCTGAAATTCTGGAAAGCGGAAAAGAAAAATCAACCAAAATTCCATCACACTTAATGATTATATATTTTTTTTTATTTTAATTATTTTTTTATAAAAATATAGCATACTATTCAACAAAAACCATATAAATCCAAGTTTCAATCTTTGTGCAACATAAAAAAAAACCACAACTACAAACTACATTGCCTGACTTCCGCTGCCTGTACCACCTTCTCGCCTACCTTTGAATGGCAGCTTCCGAAGAGAAATATTTATTGAAAAATCCATTCGTGAAAGCATTTCTTTAGAACTGCAAACATAATTTTTATGCAATTTGCTTAAATAAATATTGATTTGTGTTCTTAATACGCAAAAAAATCGCTTAACTTTTATAACGTTACAGTCATTTAAAAATTAAACATTTTGGACTTACATTATTTTCTCGTTAAAGTAAGTATACAGTTTTTATAATTCAGTATCGGTTTGCCACTAATTTTACCAAAATTTGGTGTAAATCGTATCCCAATCGTGTGAATGCACACATATATTTCTTTATCCCAATCAAGACAAACAATTTGTACAAATTTCACAACAGAAGTTCGCTGTATTGTACCAATGATGTGACTACAAAAAAAATTGTAGCCCCAATATTTTTTTTATTTTGTACAAATCTGCACAAATGTACCAAACATGTGACACGGCCTTTTAAGTTTTTAGGTACATACATACGTATTTATTTAATTAATTAATTTATTTTTTTACTTTTTTATTCATTAACCTGTGTTGCGCATTCGCCTTGGTTTTCATCATGGTGAAGTTATAAACAGGTGAAATAATAAAAAAACTTTCTCGCTTTATTTTCTTGACATTCGGCTATCTTATAGTAAAATTTTAAGCGCAAATTTTCAAATAAGATAGTGTCAAATCTTTCTTCTCGCTGTACTACTACACCTGGTATAGTTTCACCATGGGCTTTCATAATTTAAACATTCACATTCTTTTTTTTTACTATTCTTTAGTGGGCTTTTCATTTTGTTGGCAGTTTTAATGACATTGAGTACCTGTTATGATTGCCTTTTTTCATACAAAGGAAGTAAGTAATTTTTTTTTTACAATTAGCAAAAATGTATATTGAATCTTTTACTTTTTCAGAGCTACCGAACAAGTTACTGATATCATTTTCCATACCAAAAAATTTGCGACAATTATTGAAAATCCAACAAGGCCACATACCTTGCCTACATGGCATACGTTGCCTATCGCTGTTTTGGATTATATTTTTACACTGTTATTTATACCTTATATTGTCACCAAATATCAATTCAAACGACATACAAAGTGTAAGTTTGCTGCACCGGAGCGATTTTCTTAAAGCATAGACAGATAGACAGACGGCAACGTTAATCCGGCGCTGTTAATGTGATCAAAATTGTACCTTCATTGTACCTTATGCATTACTTTTATTTATTTTTAATGTAATTATAGTTGTTGGGGATTTTTTGTTAAAATTAAACTCTAACAGCCAATTTCTCTAAAGTAACTTAAGAGAAAAATGATTTTAATTTTTTAAATTTTATATGGAAATTGATAGAAAATAAAAAATAATTTTCCATTTAAATTCCTGGAGAAACCGGCTGTAAAATTTATATTAACTAATAGTAAAATAAATAATGTGAAATAAAATAAAACAAATGAAAAAATAATAAAGTAAAATAAAACATACAAATCAAATAACATTTAGAAAAGTAAAATAATTTTGACAGACAATTCAGTAGAAGTATAGAGACTCAGGATAATCATTTGGTACTTTCTTCACAGGCTAATAAATTTTTTTTTTCTTTTTTCTTTTTACGCAGTGGGAGCAAACCTTATTTTCGATGATTGAACAAAGTGGCTCAATTGCCGTGGATACATTTTTCTTTCTCAGTGGATTGCTAGTAATTATGGTGGCTTTTAGGGAGATGGCGAAGTATGGCGAGTTTATTTTTATTTTTAATTTTATAAAAAAAATCTGTTTTAATTTGTATCTTTTTTTAGAAACACTGGTAAGCTTAATGTGCCAATGATGTACATTCATCGTTATTTGCGGCTAACACCGGTTCTAGCAGTGGCCATTTTGTTTTACATGTCATTATTTAATTATATTGGCAATGGACCCATTTGGAAGAGCTTTACGGTTGCCAACAAAATTTGTGATAAAACATGGTGGGAAACATTATTTTATGTGCAAAATTATGCAGCTGCTGGCGAAATGGTGAGTAGCTTTTAAAATGACCATAACATAATAATAAAGAAATGAATATCTATATTATTATGAATAAATAAATGAATAAATAAATAATCTATTCCAGTTTAATTTTCCCTAATTGAACAGTAATTAATTAATATGTGTACATACATAAGTGCTCATGGAAAGGTTCTCTTATATAGCTTCCATGAAACTATTTTGTGATTCGGGATCTGGAAGGCGTTGAAACATCTTTGAAAATCGAATTTTTAACTTAAAAGTTTATGGTAGGAAACGTTTTTTCGAAAAAAATGTTTTTATGTAGGATTGAAACAATTTTTTCTTTCGTCATTCATATTGTTAGAAATTATGGGCCAGCCTCCACGACGAAACGTCCTAGGGCTGATCGACTTCGCCGGCCAAACATCGGCTCGTCTCTCAGCGCAAGCAATGAAACCACATTTACCGCTCATTACGTACCGTCCCCAAAGAAGTAGTGCGATTTCATAAAAATTGGTACTTGAGGAATAACATGTCGCTGCAAAAAAAAAAAATAAAATACAAATAAAGGCACGTCGAGATTGGGTGCAACGTGGGCTACTATATGGGATCGATGTAGAAAGCTGAAGAGGGAAAGGCCTAAATACATATGTGACTGCAAAGAGCATGAAACTCCAAAATTTAATCAGAAAGTTAGCCAATTTAGGGAAGATTTTACACAATTCTCTAAGAACAACTACAGGGTTGCCACCTGTCAACCCATTCAAGTTATTTAATAAGTTAAATAAATTATTAAAATATGGGTATCAATAGTAGGAAGTTGGAAAAATTATTTGAAATATAAACACTCGGGTGTCAAGCGGAATAGTGTGAAGAAAACTTTATTTTGAACATTTAGAATCTTTAAAAGGCTTGCAACGTGTTTGTAAAGTGACATTCAAATTATTTTATAATTTGCATTAATAATTAAAAAATGTGTATTATCGAAACGAGTTTCAAAAGGCGTGATTTCTGAAATATATAAAGGAGGGTTGCCATCAGTTTAAAAAATCCAACTCAGCTTAAATTAAGGCAATTACCAAATTGAAGTATGTATCAAAATTTGGGTGCCAGACAAAAGAGATTGAAAATCTTTTGATAAGGGTTGGTACCTGTTGGAAATGTCGAATTAACTTATACACAGGATATATGAAATATTAAAATATTGGTGTCAAACAAAAGAGTGTTAAGAAATCTAGAGTTTGAACATAAGAAATATTTTTTAGGTGTTTGAAGTGGATGACCACCTGTTTAAAATTCAAATTATTTAAAAAGTTAAATGAATTATTTAAATATAAGTGTCATTCGAAATGGGTTTGAAAAGGCTTTACTATTATAATACACTATACTATACGCCAAGAATGATAGAATACAAGATTGCGCCGATCAGAGAGGATTTTTGAGAATAACTTTTGTGTGACGTCACACTGGTGCAATTGCGAGAGCAGAATGCCAAAACGTGAGCAAGAATGGAAGAAGAAGAAAAAATGTTGCAAGGAAAACGTAAACAAGTTGCACAAGTGTGACGTCATGCAAACAACGATTCTGTCAAATTCGTCAAGAGAGGAATAGCGGTCCGAGATCGGCGCAACCTTTGTATTCTCTCAATCGTGACTATACGCTATTACTATACTCCCAACAGTATTAGGGCATAATAATCTGCCCTAAATAGATTGCCGCTTACACATACATACCAGGGATGAAAAATGGAAATTTCAGATTGTACCTAATATCACAAAATAAATGTACCTAAATGAGACAGATTGTACCTAAAAAAAGTTTCATCATTCATTTGTAGTTTTTTTATATTTATTAAAACATGAATACAAAAGATATATGTACTTTAAACATGATTAGGTTTTTCAACTGAGCCTATATCTATAGACTGTAGTCTAATGGGAATCGGAGAAGCATTGTTTTTGTCTAATTTTGACTACTGAAAAATATTGGAGTATACTTCTTTATCCAGCTTTTTATAAAACAACAGGAAGTCTGCTAATTTATCCGATTCCTTTCAATAGGTGCAGCAAATCTAGAGAATATAATCAATGTGCCTTAAGTAACTTCGAAAGCATTTTAAATATATTTCCAGAAATCAAAAAAGCGAGTATGGGTCAAATAGCTGTAGTTCTCATCTAAAAATATGAAATTTGAAGACATCCTAGACACTGGACTGTATGGATGAATAAAGGCTGGTTTTCACAATGTAATATTTTGACAACAAAATTTGTTGACTTATTTTGACACAACTTTCTTTCCTTTATCCCTACCTTTATCGATGATATTATGGGCCAAAAACTTACAAGTAGCCGCCTTAGCAGCGCATGTACACGCCTATTCTGATCTAAATCAAACCAAAGATCATTTTTTAGTCCCATTTGACAATGAAGGCCTATTCTGATCTAAATCAAACCAAGGCCAGTTTTTAGTCCCATTTCACTCATTTGACCGCAAATGCCACTGAATTTGACTTAGTGAAAATAAGCGTTAAAATTAATAGAAAAAAATTACGAAGCTAAGTAAAGTGTTAATTTTTCGTAGTGCCTGCTCTAAATGCAATGTAAAATGTTTAAGATAATACATAATATGGTTTTTTTATGTCTTCCTTTTGACCACTTTTCTCTAGAATTGTTTATTATTCAAAATGAAAGCGAAACTTCTCCCGTACCTACAAGTAAATATATTAGCGCGGTAAAGGAAAAAAAACTAATAATGCATCTGATCAAAAGATGATTGTACCTAAAATCTAGTGACTGTACCTAATGTACCTTTAAGTCATGAAACGTCGGAAAAAGGTACAATTGTACCTACTTTTTCATCCCTGATACATATGTATGTTAGTGTTTGGCCGAGCGTCTCCTCCGATTTGTGGCGTGCGCCTTGATGTTGTCACACAAAGCGGAGGGACCTAAAGTTTTACCCTGACTCCGAACGACTGGTGTATTTTTATGAGAAGCTGTTTTTCATGGCAGAAATACACTCGGAAATTTGCCATTGCCTGCCGAGGGGCGACCGCTGTTAAGAAAAAACCTTTTTTCTAAATTTTTTGTTGCTTTGACTAGGGCTTGAACCCAGGCCCTGCGGTCTACTATTCACAATTAAGCGCCTATTAATCAAATATAACCGACTTACGCCGTCATATCCCGAATGAAGATTGAAATATTTGCTTGTACACACAATGAATTATGAAAAATTACTCATACGCCCTGGCATTCGCACTTCTTTGGTTGTTGTTTAATACATAAATGCACATATACTTAAGTACATACATACGTACATTAGGGCACTTCAATTTGTATGAGATATTTTTTCGACTACGCGTGTATAACACAGAAGGAGGAAAAAAAATCTCAAAAATCAACGCGATTTTTTAGCCGTTTGAAACTGGCACTTCATTAGACTAAAATTGTATGGGCTATAAATCTGCATGCCCAAAACTTGAAGTTTTGATGTAAACTTGTTGAATTTTCCTAAATTTTGTATAAAGTTTGAAACTGTGATTTACCCGGTTTTGGTTAGACGATATTTTTATATAAAAATAACAAAAAAAAATTGGCTCGAAAAACATTGCGAATATTTGAAGAAAATCAACACGTGGTCATTTGTTTCAGTCACTGTACGTTGCGAAAATAGATTTCTTAGCATTCTGCTGTAGTGGCGTAAAGACGTGCGTGTATTTTATATACAAACTATGCTATAAGCGGTTCTTTGGTAAGAAGAATCCATTTCTGCACTTATGTTTTTCTCAATCCTTCTACCTGAGGCCGTAAAATTTAAAATTTTCCCATTTTCTGCCAAATCCATTTTCGCAATTTGGCAAACTCTTTGCTTAGAATTACACGTAGAATCCTCCTATGCTATAAGCGCATAGCAAAAAAAAATAAAAATTGTTCCGCCCTAATGCCCATACAAACATTTTATAAAATTGTGTCGTAAATTATCATAAAGGATTATGGGAATGAATTTTCCCGTTTACAACCTGATATTTTTGGGAAATAACATATTTCAATTTATTTATTTTCAGTGCCTTGGTCATGCCTGGTATTTGGCAGTGGATATGCAATTATTTTTCTTATCGCCCATATTTTTGATTGTAATCTGGAAATGGAGCAAATTTGGCATAGCTGCAACTATAACTTTCGGCTTACTGCTGGTTGCTTGTCTATTTACAATTGTTATGATAAATCAATACACAATTTACGACATTGCACGGTACATTAACGCAAACTTTTTGTTTAAATCAATTGTTAAACTATGTATGTATGAATGTATGTATGCATATTGATGAATTATGTAATTTCAGAAACTATGGTGCTGCGAGTGAGGCAATGCCAAAAATTTACTATTCAACACACACCAGATGCTCGGCGTGGATAGTGGGACTAATTTTTGGTTACTACTTGCATCGCAACAATGGAAATGTTGCTAAATTACCAAACGTAAAAATATAATTATAGTGAAATTAATTTTTGTAGAACCACTTTTACTTATCCAAGTATAATTCCAGTGGTCAGTCGCCGTTAGTTGGCTGATATCGCTCATCACAGTTTTCACAATCGTATTCGCTTGGTATCCGAGAACATTGCTCAGCACAAGTGGACCCACTGTACTAGAAAGTGCTTTCTATTTGGCTGTGGGACGTGTGGCATGGCCTTTGGCTTTATGTTGGATGGTATACGCTTGTATAAATGGCTATGGCGGACCAATTAACGTCTTTCTGTCGTGGTCGCTCTGGCAACCGATTTCAAAACTTTCGTACAGCATGTACATTTGGCATTTGATTGTGATTACAATTAATGCATCGCGCATCAAGACCAATACATACTTTTCGGATTATGATGTGGTAAGAGAAATTTAGATTTTGATGAAAATTTATTTTTGATGTTGAACTTGTGTGTGTTTTTTTTAGATATTGAGCTTTTGGAGTAATTTTAGTATTACACTATTGGTATCCATTTGCGTGTATTTGGCTGTTGAAGCGCCAATTGTTGATATTGAAAGTTACCTGTTGCCACGTAAAACGGCAATGGTCAGCAGGCAACAAACAACGCCGGCTCCAGCAGCAACAATATCACAACAAAATTTATGTGATTAATATCAGCTATACAAAGAGAATGAACTCTGTGGTATTTTGTAAATGTAGGTACATTTTTGTAATATGTAGGTTTAATGTGTGTTAAATTTATGTATGTATCTCCATACATACACACATATATACGAACATATGCATGGGCGATAAATTTATTGCTTTTTAAATGCATTCTGGTAATAAAAAATTAAGTTATTTTCTCAAAACAAAGACCATATCAAAGGCGAGTTGAGAAAAAAAGAGAGCAACTTTTGGTTTGTATCTAATAATAAAGCAGTGGTGGGCAAAAGCAGCATGTGGATTTTCTAATTGTTACAAAAAGCCAAAAAAGTACACCCATAATTACATACTTACCAAAATGAAAAGATCAATATTTAAGACTTTTTTAGTCGTTATTCGACAATGAAAGTTATATTTTAAGTCAAAGTTTTCTCAAGTTCTGATTCCACTGTAGGGACACTAAAATGACTCAAAACAAAACATTGATACACGAACTTCATTTTGGGTCGTAGATTGCGGATCTGTGTACCATTCTTTTAGATCAAGTAATTTTTTTTCCCAAGATATTTTTATTTTAAGTTTGTATTTGCGAATGAGAAAATGCAAATTTTAGCATCGAAAATGTACATGGCGTATGAGTAACATTATTTCCTGCTCCTATTTAAAAAAAAAATTCCTGCACATTTTCATTTGGACATTCACAACTTGCTGAGACGTATTTTGTGGTATTTTCTGAAAGCCTATAAGACATAACTAAACGATGCTCTAACGTCAACGCAACCCAAGCTGGTTTCGGACCACTCGGATCCGTGCAACCGTGGGGAGCTGTGACGCACCTTTAAACGATGTTATACTCTACACGGCTTCTTTATTCCAATTTTGCAGCGTCATGCCCTTTAGAACTACTGAACAGATTAGGACGAGTTTTGCTTAATATAATCTACTTAGAATTTCTATTGGGTTGCCACCTGTCTAAAAAATTATAAGATCTGTTTATTGAATTACAAAAAGTGAGATGTGAAATGGAAAGCCTTGGCCTGAAGATGTTTAATAATCTATTAATTTTGGAGTAGGGTTGCCACCTTTCTAAAAGTTATAAGATTTTCACCCTTCACGGACTCAAAACTGTGGTTCCAAGTGAAAGGACATGGCCTGCAGATATGCAATAATTTTTTTAATTTTTTTAGTGGGATTGCCACATTTATAAAAACTTACTACCTTACATTATAATACCTGCAGGCATTTTTTGTTAATGACATCAGATTTGCATAGTTCATTCAATTTAAAAAGCGAGGTCTTCAGATGTGCTTTTGTTTGGCGGTTTTATTTTTTCAAAGAGGGTTGCCACCTGTACGAAAAATTATAAGATGTGGGCTGTTCATTGGAATATGAAAATTGAGGTGTCCCAAGAAAGGGCTTGGCCTTTAGATGTTCAGCAATGTGTTATTTTTTGAGTAGGGTTGCCAACGTTTTTATAAATTACAATATCCTCGTTCGGTGGACTAAAGAATTAGGTACCAAGTGAAAGGATATGGTCTGCGGATGTGTAGTAAGCTTTTATTTATTTTTAGTGGGGCTGCCACATTTTTTAAAATTGCTACCTTACATATATGTACATACATATGTAATATGTGAAGGCATTGTTTCTTAAGGACATCAGATTTGAAAAGTTCATTCAATTATAAAGAATTTTTTTTTCGAAGAGGGTTGCCGCCTATTCGAAAAATTATAAGATGTAGGCTGTTCGTTGGATTTAAAAGTGAAAGGACATAGGATGTCAACAAAAAGGAATTGCTTGACCATTAGGCAATAAGGCTTTATTTTATTGAATATGTACACATTCAGCACGTGGTGAAGCCTCGTGTGAACCCTTGATAAGCGGCTCGCTATACAAATGAGCATCTTCAAAAACTCTACTAGAAATGTGTTGTACCCTGGGTTTTGGACCCGAAATGTAAAAAAAACTGATCCAATGGAAAACACGAAACAGCCCCGAAATAAGCACTATGCTTTACGGATATCCGCTTAGAATGGCCGGACACTCCACAGGAATGGTGCACGTATCCAACTGCTGATTTGCTTAGTGAAATACATATGTACCAGGCTGCCATCTCTTCCGAACCAAAAATGCGATGGACCGCACATAACTGACCAGTGACAATATATCCCCCACAGAGGAACAACTGATTTGACGAAAAGTGCCGTCTAGCTGCTGCAGGGAATTACGTATCAGTTCCAGCAGCCGAATCCGCCGCGCGCGACAATTCACCAATACCGTGTAAAAAGGGCCGAAAGAGAGACGTATTTTTATAAAGATAAAAAGGCAGAAAGGCGTAAGTGTGTACAGCTTGAGTTGCTGACAGGCAGGAATGCGGCGCGAAAATATTGTCAGAAAATATGAATAACGACCGAGGTGGCGCCTTTGACCAAGAACACAGCAAAACGCAGCCCTCATGAGGAAATGGAGAGTATAGTTACGAACTCGACTCCGCCCACAATTTTGTATTTTTTTTAATTTAGTATTAAAGCTTTTAAATTCTGCCTTTGCCCCCTGCCCTTGAGTATATTTAGGTAAGCGCGAAGGGTTTAAGGCCCAGCTGCTCTCCCGTAGTAAATTGGTTTTGTATCACATTTTCGAAGACCTCTACAAATCGTTTTTATTTGAGCTTACCACTTTTTCTTTCATATTTAGTAATTACATTTTATGTATAAGTTAACTTTCACTAACGTCTATATTATTAAACAAATCGTATACAATACGACTTTCGTATTTTTTTTTTTAATTAGCAATTAAATCTAAATATTCCTTTGGCTAAAATCGATCTAATCACCACACTCAAGCAGAGCGACCCAATAAATACTTAGGCTTTGCTCACTTCGGGAGTCGAAACATCCGGAACTGTTCTCTCAGCTTCAACTGGAGCTGGAGAAAACGTTGGATCTATCTTTTTCGGCGCTGGTTTACTATCACCATGGCCGAAAATGGCCTTTTCAATGCCCAAAATTGGTGACTCGAATGCCAACGTAGCAAAAATGGAAAGAGTTAGGGCAACACCGAAATCGTGCCACCATCGAAGTATCTACACAAAAGAAAAAAAAAACACCAAAACGATAAGCTAAATAGTATAATTCTTTTACCGCGCCATCTTTGTTCTTACCATTTCGTAATCGCTAAAATGTGTATCGGTTTGGATGCGTCCATCATTCACCAACTGCACAATTCTGTGAATTACATACATGCAGTAAGTGAGGCGACTGAAGCCGGTGAAGAAGCCCCAAGAGAGGAAATCATTAATTAAACCACCGTGGCCATTGTAGCAGGCCCACACAATCCAGCCGATAGCTATTGCCCAGGAGGAGCGACTTAGAGGCTCGTAAAGAGCTCCTTCCACAATGGGAGCACTGGGATTCTGTGGTAGGATACGCCAGTAAGGACCCCACAAACAGGCCAACATCACACCAAAGGCCACCACCCAGCCAGTGACTACCCATATTTTGGCTAACGGTATTTGTCTGCCACGATTCTTGGTGTACAAGAAGTAGCCGAAAATCACACCAATCAACCAGGTGGGTACACGTGTATGCGTAGGATAGTAAGTCAAACGTTGACGATCGTCCAAATTGTCATCGTCGACGCGGAACAGCGAGAATTTCCATTTCATGAAGGTGGCGAAAGTGCAGCCCATACAAAGCACAGCGACACCAATAATTGGAGGGAGGGCCTTTTTGCCCCATTTCCATAGGGGAATAAGGAAGAGTGGCGATAAGACATATAGTTGCGTATCGACTGCCAAGTACCAAGATTGACTGATGCACTGCATGTGAAAATGAGAGAAATAAAAAATTTCATAACATTTATATTTGGAATGGAACAGTGCTGCAAATACTTACAATCTTCTTGGGGAAAACGTAGTTCTGCACATACAACAAAGTTGCCCACCAAGTGTCTGAACAACGTTCATCCTGTGTACCGATTTTCATCCACATAGGTCCATGACCTGAGTATTTACATAACGACAAAATGTATAGGATCACAACGGCTACGACGGGCGTCAAGCGAATATAACGATGGAAGTACATCATGCCTATGTTCAGTTTGCCCTTACTAGATGTGTTGAGAAAGTATTGCTTTAGTTTTAAATTTGATAGCTATTTAGTAACGCTTAATACTTACGTGCGCTCCATTTCACGGAAAGCGCCCCACAACATCAACAGGCCGGACATGAAGAAGAAAGTGTCCACACAAAGTGTGGCATTTTGCACCAACATAGAGTAGGGAGTTTCAACCCACTGCAAGCGAAGTTTAAAATGTTAACAAGTCAAGCACACTTACGTGTACATAATTTATTTCAAACACTTACGGTATAGACTTTAACTATATTAATGTGAGGCAACTGATAGAATGTCATATAACCGTGACCATAAACGACCCAAATCAGTGAGAAACAACGCAAGCCGTTGAGACATTGTATAACATTGGGATTATTTGTTTGTTTGACAGTGAATATCTTTGGCGCATTAGTGAGTACGGAGAAAGCCACAAAAAGTGGCTTCTTGGGTTCTGTAATGAATGTAAATTATTTGTGGATGAGGCAATACAACATACGCACACTCCTAGTCATTGATCATCAGGTGTATAGTTTTCCTTTTGTTTGTTTGAATTTCATTCATTTTTTTATATAAAAATAGAGCTATTCAAATGACTGGGAGTGTATGTACATAATACGTAAGGTATTATCTTATGTTGAAAGCATTGAAATGACAAATAATGTGTGTTATTTAAAAAATGCCATGTGGAAATGAACTAACAGCGCAATTCTGGCTAAGATAGTTGCAAGTCTTTTGTAAGGCAGTTGAAAGTCTTGCTTACAGTCTTGCTTAGTTTGAAAGATTTTGTTTATTCTGGCATGAAAGTCTTACAAAAAAAAAAAAAAGGATTCCTTGCCAACTTTCATGGTGGAAGGCTCTTTTAACAGTTAGCATTTACGCATGTTCCAAATGCAAATGTATGTCATTTTGCTCGCGCTGCTCCAGTGGTTGTTATTTTTTTTTTAAATGATTTTTTTTCAACAAAAATAACAAAAACAAATTGGATTTCTTTCTTTATTTAATTGAATTTTCTCTTACTTTTTGATTTTATTTACGTTTTCATAATTTAGTTTAATATTTAGAAACTCATTTAATTTTTTTTAATTTTTAATTTATTTTCATTTTTATTTTTTTTAATTTTTTTTTAATTTTTTGTTTGTTATTATTTTTTTTTCATATAAAATTGAGGAACTTATTTATCTTCTTATTTTTAAATTTTCTAAAAATTTTTAAATGTATTGTTTTAAAAAGAAAATTGTTTTATTAAATTCGTTAAATTTGTAGAAACTTATTTTATGTTTGTTTTGTTTTACAATTTGATTTTCTTTTAATTTTTAGATTTTATTGTTTTCAAAAGAAAACTATTTGTATGATTTTATTTAATTTTTGGAAAATTTTTTGTCTTTTTTGAATACATTTTTTATTGAATTTCCCCTAATTTTGTATTCTTTATTGTTTGTAAAAGAAACATATTTTTTTTTTAATTTCATGCAATTTCCAGATACATATTATTTTTTCGTTCTATGATTGCTTTTTATTCTTTTTTATACCCGAGCGCACTTGTGCACAAGTGTATTATAACTTTGTTCACATAACGGTTGTTTGTAACAGGCAAAACGAATCGAGATAGATATAGACAAATGTATACATAAATGATCAGAATGAAAAGAGAAATCGATTAAGCGGTGACTGTCGTCCGTCCGTCCGTCTGTGCACACGATAACTCGAGTAAAAATTGAGATATCTTAACGAAACTTGGTACGTGCAGTTTTTTTGGCGTATGACGGATGGTATTAAAAATGGGCCNACTGCGATATTTTAGTAACTACTGAAGACTATTCACTCAAAATTGATATTTACAATTTTTAGACTGAAAATAGGAATATTATAAATTTTTGGAAAATAGGCGTAGCCACGCCCACTTATGGTTACATGTTTATATCTTGGCAACCGCTGCACCAATCTTTCCAAACTTGGCACAGTTGTTAGCCTTACTACAGCATACGAAATGGCCGAAAATTTTTAAAATCGGACAATAATCACGCCCACATCCCATATAACGGTAATTTAGAGAAATACGAAATCTTCGATAAATCAGTAAATATTAAAGCTAATTTATTCAAAATTTATGCTTGCAACAATTCTTTACCAAGAAATACGTTTATGATAAAATTTTGGAAAATGGGCGTGGCACCGCCCACTTATGATCACATATATGAATCTCGGTAACCGTTTTACCAATTTATGCCAAACTAGGTGTGATTTTGTGTTTGCCACATATAAGCAAAACGTTGAAAATTATTGAAATCGGACTAAAATAACGGCCGCTTCTCATATAACGGTAAATTTCAGAAATGCTTGAAACTTCAATATTTCGAAATTTAAGGACGCTAATTTACTCAAAATTGATACACCCGGCTTACCATGTACTGGTAGCTTTCGGAAATGTGAAAAACATATATTTAATACTTGCGCCGGGTATTTAATGTTCGGCTCCGCCTGAACTTAGACTTTCTTACTTGTTTTAATTTAACCTTATTTTAATTTTTAGATTATATTGTTAAAATAAAATATTTTATTTAACTTAATTTTCATGAACTCATATTCTTTTTCAATTCAATTTCCTTTTAATTTTTAGTATTTATTTAAAAAGAAAATATACTTCTATGTACATGTATTTTTTTAGAAAAGTTATTCCTAAAAGACGAACAGAATAACAGGAGCTTACTCCTCGTTGGCAAATCTTTCCATTAATCATTCGGAAGAAAGAAAAGAGCTTTGAGGGAGCAATGCCATTGTCTTACGAAAGACTTTTGTCTTTCGAAATACTGTGGTGAGTTGAAAGATGGTTGCTAGAATTGCCTTGCAAATGAATATTTTTGTCAAGGATATTTTTAATTCCAAATTTTGGCATTTAATACCCAGTGTAAATGCAACATTATAAGCTTTTACTTACCTTTATTTTTCGTTTTTATGTAATCGTAAACACTGCTAGCTATCATACAGAATACAATGAAACTAAAGAAAACACTGGAAAACATTTCAAATATATGCATTACCAATTAGTGCCTGTAATAAATAATTATGNTAAATGCAGCATTATAAGCTTTTACTAACCATTATTTTTCGTTTTTATGTAATCGTAAACACTGCTAGCTATTATACAGAATACAATGAAACTGAAGAAAACACTGGAAAACATTTCAAATATATGCATTACCAATTAGAGCCTGTAATAAATAATTATATAATTGATTAGCTCACTCACATGGCGAAGATGTCGATCGCTCGAAATTTAACGGGCTCTTCATATTTGCAATATTTTTCTTGCATCATCGTTGAAGTGATGCCAGCATCATAGTACTTATTCATCACGCCAGTCAAGATTTTATTACCCAATTCAGCGGAACATGAACTTGGTATACAAACACCTAATTCAAATGCCTCTGGCTTTGAATATTTATAGCTGATCCTAGCTGGACTACGTACTTGACGTGGTTTAATCTCGTCCATATATTTTTTGATTGGCACGCGTGCCAAACAATATTGACCGCGTAATACATCATCCGTACTGAATTCCCAAGAAGCAGCTAAACATTCTTCATAGGCGCCGAAGCTCACTGCGTGACCCCACATCAAACCGACGGGTAGGCGACCCCATGTGTCGGGAACTGTAGTGAAAATTGAGTTAGTGAAATATTTCTCAGACAAATATATCTGTGGAAATTGGACAAAACAACTTAAGTCTATCTTTCAAGGGCAAACGAAATGGCATATATATATATAAATTAGACTCCTGCGCAATTCCATTTAAACGGCCCAACAAGACATCCGATCGCCGCACAAATACTTTCCATCCTCTACTTTCATCGTTCGGGTCAATTGTGAGTAAGCATAAACCAGTTTCTGCAAGCGTACGTAAACTACCGATCAATAGCAAAACGCGTAGAGTATTTACTTTGCCTTCCGCAACTACTGCGAGTAAAAGGTATTTGACAGTAGAGTACTCTACTGGTAGTACTTGAGTATTTTCGAAGAAAACATACATTTGTGGCAAGAATGATAGAAGAATTTTCTGGATCGCGCATTTGTGGTATCTGAAAAAAACTAA